TCCTTACCTTGGCAGAGGTGGACAGTAGAGAACCCCTCCTGCCCTTCTAAGCACATAGGTACCCACTGTGGGTGCCAGTAAGAGTTGATTTTACCCTTTCAGCAGGAGACTGCCTTGATTGTTTTGCTTTGACTCCCTTAGCTAGACCGAGCTGCGTGAAGCAGGGGACTGGGTCTTTTTTTGCTATTGTATAATTTGTACAGTGCACATATGTACACTTAGCATATAACGGCTCTGTTAAAAACTAGTGGAACTATTATGTAAAGTGAAATACAACTCTAAAATTGTGGTCCTTTAACGTGCTGCAGACTGGCATTGGTTTTTATCTGAAAACAAATTTACAGATACTGAGGTCTCCCAACTTACATCCCAAACACAGCATCAGCAAAGTGATACACTGTATCTTATTTTGAGTGGGAGGGGTAGAAGGCAGGGTCTCATGATACCCAGACTGGCCCCAAACTTACCATATAGCTGAGGATGATCAAGAACTCAATCCTCCTGCCTCCACATCCAGAGTGTTGGGATGACAAGCATATGCTCCCAAGCCTGGCTCCAAACTGGGTCTTTTGAAAACACTCTGGTGCTAGTTCACTGTTCTCTCACCTTATGAAGACGTTAGCCATGTGGGGTCCATGCCTTCCCGTGACCTTACTTTAATCCTGGAGGTCATTTTACTGATGCTGTCACATTGGACTTCAATGTGGCTTAGGGGAGAGGCACAATTCAGACTTCAGATCCTTCACTCTGGAAAACAGCAGTCTGTGGCTCAAGGAACCTAAATAATTTTTCTACCTCCACTTTACCAGGGTTCCAGAAGGCCCATTTGTGTTTGTACATATAGAAGTGTTTGTTAGTATCTTACTCTAGGAAGGCAGTTCACTTCTTCAAATAACATCTTACTTTTTTTCTTATGTATTTGGTTTTTTTTTTTGGTTTTGAGACAGAGTCCCCCTATGTCGCCCATACTGCCTCAGACTTTCTGTCCTCTTGAGTACTAGGCTTGTAGGTATGCACCAACAGGCTCAGTAAAATAGTGTCTGCTTTCCAAGATTAGTTGTCAGCACTAAAGTTGAATCAATTGAGAAAAAAAAAAAAACTACACTTAGAGAGCTTTCTTTTAAGTTCAATAAAAAGCCATGTGAAATTCTATACTGTGAAAGAAGGGGAAAGGAGAAACTTTATTTTTTTCAGAATTTTCTATTTATCAAAGCCATTCTTTAACAATATTATTCTATGGGACTTGAATGCAATATAGATTCTCAAATACAGATTATATAAATGATGGTTCTCATGTCAGTCATAAATTGACTGACTGGAGGAGTAGCCTGCTAGGCTCTCATAATTGCTAGAAAATACATAATAGTATAAATCAGAGTCACCTAAAAAGCTGATGATTTAATAAGCTAAGAGACCATTTCTGGTAGCATTAGGGAAGAGGCACATTCTCCTAGGCTGGAATTAAAGGACAAGGTGCATTGCTTTGCCTTTATGTTTCCTGTGACTGCTAAAAGCACATTGGAAGTTCTTAACTCCACTGTAGGATGTGCGTGCCACAGAGCACGTGTAGAGGCTGGAGGACAACTTTCTGGAGGTGGCTCTCTCTTTCCACCCTTACGTGGGTTGCAATTGGATGCACATCCTCACTTGTACTTGCTGAGCCGTCTCAACTGTTTCCTGATTACATTTAAAAATAAAATGTAAATGTAATAAAAAATAATAACTACTGACTTTATCCAATCTTTAGGAAGCAATTTGAAGAAATGGCCTCTTACTACAAGTCATCTGTGCAGGAATTTGCTAGACAGGTAACCAGCACCACGTCTGAAGAGCGACAGAGGATGCTCAGGGACTTCTACAGTCCTCAGCACCCAGAGGTAAAGGAGTTCTTTGTGAGTTCTGCTTCAGAGTTGATCAGATCTGTACACAAGGCAGAAGAGAGGATCAAGAATAAATCCAGAGAAAAAGAATCTCTTTCAAAAGAAAGGCCCTCGAATTATACTTTGTCATGCAATGAGCCCACCAACAAAATGTCTCAAGTTCAAAACCCAAAACTATGTAAAGGAAAGTCAATCAGATTTCAGAATCATGGTTCCCATAGAGAAGAGACATTTTCTAGTGATGCAAAAATTAAGAAATCGTCTGTCAGCTTTACTCAAGAGATTGACAGTGAGTGTAATGACCACACACCCAAGAACACCATGACACGCTTCTGTCCAAACAGCAAGTCTGAAACCCCAGAGATAGAGCTAGAAGATTCCTTAGTACATCAGCAGGACCTCACAAGAGCATGCAGTTCAAGAAACAGACCACTTTTCAAGTTGGGAAACAAAAGGGTAGAAAACCCAGTGTCAGAAAACACTCCTGTGGAAGGCTTACTTGGTGACACTTCTATTCTTCATGACCTCTTTAAAAGCCATGGGGAAGGTCCCGCGCAGCTGCCAAAGAATGTTCTTTCAGGGCCTGTGGCAAAAGCAAAGCAGAGACCAAAAGATTTCTGGGACATCTTGAGTGAGCAGAATGATGACAGTCTTAGCAAGCTCACTGACTTGGCAGTGATAGAGACTCTGTGTACAAAAGTGCCCTGCTCCACAGCCTCCGAAAGGAAAGATGAACTGGAAGCTTCCCTTTGGAAAGCAAATGAGAAGTTTTTGTGGAAGACATTTAACTCAGATGATGATGAAAGCACAGCCAATACACAGAGAGAATAGAACCTGGATGTGCCGTTAAACTGGTGTACCAATGAATACACAGAGAGAATAGAGCCTGGATGTGCCGTTAAACTGGTGTACCGGTGAATACACAGAGAGAATAGAACCTGGGTGTGCCGTTAAACTGGTGTACCGGTGAATACACAGATTAGAGCCTGGATGTGCCGTTAAACTGGTGTACCGGTGAATACACAGAGAGAATAGAGCCTGGATGTGCCATTAAATTGGTGTACTGGTGAACTGCCAGCCCTGTTTATGGTACTATATGTAGGTAGCATCCTCAACAGTTGTTTGCAGACTTGCTTACTAAATTAATTGCTGTAGGCTTATTTTAACATCCTAAAATTTTATCATGGGTTTTCTTTCCCTCATATATGTTTTAATCACTAATGCTCAATTTATACAGTGCTGGGGATCAAGCCCAGGACTTCTTATACACCAAAAAGCACTCTGGCCAACTCAGCTCCATCTCCTGCCCCTGATTCCATCTTTGGAACAAATGTGATTGTATCATATTATAAACCCCTATTATTAAATGAAGCCCTGGGCATCTCCCCTCCTGTGTGATTCTGTAACCTCTCATGAATGACTTGCCCTGTGTTTGCCCACTCCTCATATGAAAGATAACAGGATTGAGCCAGATTAACATAGCCTTCTACTTTTAAACTCTTACAGACTGTCCCAAATCAGGTGGCAGCCACTGCACTCTTCTCGCTGGCATTGGGAAGTTATTGTTTTCCTTCTTCCTTGGAATTATGTTCTAGTACTATTGAATTGTTTTAGACAAAAGTTAGTAATGAATATGTGGTATTATGTTAAAATGGTAATTTTATAACTGCTCAGAGTAACGTATAAGTTTGTGAGCTGTGATGTTAAAGTAATGGGATTGTTATCATTGGCCAGAGTACCAACGCCTTAACTTTTCATATTACTATGACTTAGTAAATATAAATAAAGCTTTGTATTTTAACTTTGTATTTCTTAAATGGAAGGAAATGAATAGACATTTGATTTTAATTGAAACCTCTTTCATTGAATTTAATATATGTGGTTTACACACTCTGAAATGTGTTCATTGTTGGATTTATTTACTTATAACATTTTCTCAGCTGTTGTGTTCTGTGATAGGTGCTTGACTATATAGGTGACAGCTATAGGTGAAGGCAGGGAGGTCCTTCTGTAAAGCATCATGTCTGTATAGCCCCTGGCATTGTGACTGGCACATCAAGGGTGTCAGACTGGTACCTGCCCACATTCAGCTGAGCTTGCGGGACTGATGCAGGAACTATCCATCCAGAAAATAGTAGGCTCTCCAGATTCCCCCACACTGGAGTATTTTAAACTTCTCTTACTACTTTGTTCTGTTACTGTAAGAACCTCGTGAACCTGTTACAGTGTTACAGTATTTGAGGTAATTTGAATTTGTATTCCAGGCCCATGGTCATTCATACTTGGCTGGGGCGGGGAGCGGCAGTGAGCTAGCTAAGAGTTATGTTTGGGCAGAAACCAGCCCCTGCTGTGGGATGTTCTGTATGGCAAATGTGTTGCTGATTAGTCAATAAATAAAACACTGATTGGCCATTGGCTAGGCAGGAAGTGTAGGCGGGACAAGGAGGAGAATAAAGCTGGGAAGTGGAAGGCTGAGTCAGAGAGTCACTGCCAGTCACCATGATGAGAAACAGCATGTGAAGATGCCGATAAGCCATGAGCCACGTGGCAAGGTATAGATTAATGGAAATGGATTAATTTAAGCTGTAAGAACAGTTAGCAAGAAGTCTGCCACGGCCATACAGTTTGTAACCAATATAAGTCTCTGTGTTTACTTGGTCGGGTCTGAACGGCTGTGGGACTGGCAGGTGAGAGAGATTTGTCCTGACTGTGGGCCAGGCAGGAAAACTCTAGCTACAAGCCCCCAGTGAAGGTTGCACTCCCACCGACATAAACAAGAAGAAACAGGCTCCCCAAGCTTCTCCAGTCCCTGATGGCCTCTAGCTCCCACTCCACTCCCCAGGAAGCAGGAAAGGGACCTTTTAGTAAGGGATCAGGCTTTGGATCAAACTAAGAGCTGTTGACAGTTTAACTTCGTGGGTACTTGGGGACACATCCCAGGTTGCCCGGTAAATCAGGATCCTCCAGGGATAGGCATGCCACTCAGAAGGTGACTGTTCTCCCCAGGCTGGGCATAGCACAGCTCCTGGGCTTTTCCTTTAACAACTGCAGCAGGATGGAACACAGCCAACTGAACTTGGCCTCACCCTTTGGGCAAACTGCAGACCCTGTGGACCCCAAATGAGGACTTCAATGTACTTCCGATGGCTGGCAACTCCAGCCAAGGGGCCACAAAGCCTAAGCTGCGGCCTCTGCAGACACGCGAGCCAGAAAAGAAACGGCACTAAAAGAGAAGAAAGGGTAATGGAATTAGGCTCTGGAGGCCGCGATGGAAAACTCCGGAGCTCAAGCCAGTGGGGAGTGCGCGTTATCTACCATCCCAACCGCAAGCATCCGCATCCCTCACAGCTTGAAGCCATGGATGGTCCAGCTTTGGGGGTGCAGCGAGCTTGAAGAGCCCGATCCCCAAAGCGGGGGGGGGGGGTGCTGCATGTCTGCGATCCTGTGAGGTCCCCATAGTATCCTGGCAGGAGGGTGGGGATGGTCGCAGGTGGCCAGTCGAGGGTCCAAGCGGGGATATAGACAGGAATTAGGCGGGAACAGGTGGGGACCCCCGCGGGGCACAGCTTGGCGCAGTGGGTTGGGTGAGTGAACCTCAGGCGGAGAGGTCCCGCCCCCTGGAGGCCCGAGGTGGTGGTTTCCGCTGTCTGAATCTCTCAACTGATCCCCGAGTGTGGAGTCTTGGGAAGCCGCAGGGAGGAGGCGCCCACCCTCCCCGCCAGCACCTAGACGGAGCTGCAGAGCGAGGAAGGAAGTGGGAAGCTGGCAGGAGGGATCTGGCCGATTCCAGGCGCAGTGTTAGAGAGCACACTGGGGATTCGGCCAGGCACGCCCGGCAGACACACTGCCGGCCCGCCGGGAGGAAATCAGACTTAGCACCTTGGCGTACTCTACCTAGATTCCCCGGCCAGCTGCCCCGGGAAGCGACCCCCACGTCCAGAAGCACTCCCCAGCCTGTGCACGCCCTGCGCTGGCTGGGCTTCCAGTCCTCGGCCACACACCCCCCTAGGACAAGCCCTGCTCCTCCTGCCTTCCCCGCCCTCCCACCTTCATGCTTCCCCCAAAGCCAGCGCCTTCTGCCAAGCTTCCATTCCCAACCTGTTATCACGTCCTGGAGAGAATGTCTCTGAAATATTTCCTGAATCTCACTGCCAAGAACCTCGAGTTTCCGTCTCTCCACCTCCCATCTGGATGCCTGCAGACTTCTCCCTGGGTTCCCAGGCTTCAGCCCTTCCCTCTCTAATCCATTTTCCACACTGCATCCCCAAAGCCTGTTGAAACACAGGGACCTTGGCTGTAGTAAACCTCGTTTCCTCTGTTAGGGAGGGTTAAAGGGATTGAGCTGAGGAATAACTACATCAGTTCACATTTATTGAGCATTTACTGTGTCGTTTGTTTAACATTTCAAGTGGTTTTCACGTTTAATCTGCCCAGCAGCTCTCCTGGGCAGGTGTTACCTGTTTTATTGAGGAAGAAACTGAGGCACAGAAGCCACACAGCCCTGAATCAGCAACAGCTGCTCCACTACCTGAAAATTTGAAAGCCACCACTATCCTGAGTGGAAGGACCTGCCGCAGTAAGCTGTGCCCTGGGAGCAAATAGTCACTAAGTGGATCAGGCAGGTGATGTCAGATCGGATTTGCTTTGTCACCCCACAGCGCCCCCCCC